CCTAACCCTAAACCCTAAAACCCTAAACTCTAAAACCCTAAGCCCTAAAACCCTAAACCTTAAGAACCTAAACCCCAAAACCCAAAACCCTAAACCCTCAAACCCTAAACCCTAAACCCTAAAACCCTAGACCCTGAAACCCCGAAAAGCCGCATCAACCCCGAACCCCCAAAAACCCTAAACCTCATCCTGAAGGTTTTTGGGGCTTTGCTTACGAAGCCTTGGGATTTCAGAATTTTTTTGAACGGTTGAAACCATGGGCCCCTATGGTTGATGATATAAATCCTGCATTACCCATGATGAGGAATATAACATAATTCATAGTTTAGGGCCCTTGGAATAATGCAGGATTTATATCATCAACCGTAGTATGGGCCCTTAACCTTGGGATCCCTATATACCCACTATATACCTTATACAGATTCTTAAAGGGTCCCTAGACCCCCTCAAAAACGCCTAAGGGTCCATATTAGGGGCCCAAACTTCCAACCTTGGATTGTTAGGTCTGCCATCAACACCCAAATGCCAATATCTGCAAATTGCAAGAGCCTGAACCTCGAAACCATCATTCCGCTTCAAAACTCCAGAATCCCAAACATCAGGAGGATTCTGGTACGCTGTCGATATATTTGCAGGACTGGCGCTAGGAAGAATTATCCATAGCAGGGCAACCTTGAGCCCTGAAGCGCCTGACCCGAAACCATGCAACATACTCGAGTCACGACGATTTTGAGTTTAGGGTTTAGGGCTTCGAAACCCTAAATCGTGTCCCTAAACCCCCGAAACCCCTATAACCCTAAACCCGGTCCCGGGTGTCAGCGTCTTGGTGCCAGGCTGTGGTTGGCCGAAGTCAAGACCTCGCCGGCTCGGAGTTGCGGCTCAGACTAAGTGGAAGAGCTTTAGGGTGTAGGGTTTAGGGTTTAGGGTTAGGAAATTCTATACCCCCCCCTTGGAACCATAATAGATACAATATGTTGAATATTCTCTTGGGTTTTAGATGAACAAAAGATACAAAATTATGATAATTCCTAGGGAGACTATAGTTAGGGGATGAGGGTTCAGGGTTTCGGGGACCCGAGGCAGGGGTTCAGAGAGCCTAGCGTTGAGCTTTTTTCGACTGCTGAGGCTCAAGATCTACAGTAAACAGGGTTTAGGGTTTAGGGTCTAGGGTTTTGGGTTTTGGGTTTAGTGTTTGGGGTTTTGGGCTTTGGGTTTAGTGTTTGGGGTTTAGGGTTTGGGGTTTAGGGTCTACAGTAAACCCCACAAAGTTGGAAACTGGATTGAGGCCAAATAGTGCTGGGATTCCCTATACATTACTCTTAAGGATGGAGGCTCTGGGGTTTCCAACTTTTGGGCTTCTGCTGTAGAAGGGTTGCGGAGTTTATGGGCAGAAGCCGAAGAGTGCTCGATACATCAGGACCGGCAGTCGGATTGTGCTGAATGCTGATCAGTTCAACGAAGCCACATCTCCATAGCATGTGCACTGACGATTAGAGTTTAGGGATTTCGACTCCTTGCAAACCGAAAAACCATAACATTAACATAGAGGCTTGACTTGGGGAGCTCTTTATGTTACCAGTCCGTCAGTCAACCCCGAGGAATACCATGACTAATCGTGTAATCATCCCGGCCCTATATTCAAACCGAACTTTTCAAACTCTTCACACCAAACCTACAAGGTTCGCCCTAAACCCTAAACCTCGCACCTGTGGGTCGGGGCCATGCTCAGAAGCATATAACCCTTGCCCTCTGAACTCGATGCCCCCGAAGCCCAGACCCCAACCCTAAACTCCGTTTGAGAATTGAGGCTTTAGGAATCAAGGTTTAAACCCTCGAACCCTACACCCCAAAGTCCTGTCATGAACTCTTTGAACCCTATGCGTCAACGCCCCATCAAATCCCTTCAAAACCCTACACCTTGAGCAGCTGGATCCGAAAACCCCCTCGGTCAAGCACCAGAGCACGAACGCCGAGGTTCAACTGGCCTCAGAACTTAGCTTTGGTTGGTAGGGAATGGAAGACTGGCAGTGAAAGTAGGTATACTTGTACCCCATTCCTCCATTCCCTACTACAGTAACCAAAGGTAAGAGCAGGGGTTAGGATTTTAGGTTTCCGGTGTGCGGGTTTGACGGTTCGAGTTGGACTGAACTTCGGGTTTTCAAGTTCAACCCATGGCCTGAAGCTTAAGGGAAGGAAGTTCAGGACCCAATAGAAGAGTCGGCTTTGGTGGATCAAAGAAGCCCTAAACCTTGAACCTCAAAACCCTCAACCCTAAAAGTAAACTTGAAGGTTGAATTTCCCGACACAGGGTTTGCCTCTAGGCTAGAGCCTTCAGGCCTAAAGCTTCTTGGCTGCTGGCATTGAAGTGGTTGGCCTCCCCACTTCAACTTCAAAGATATTTAACAGCTTTTGTAGTGTAGTTTAGAGTTTAGGGTAGTGGGCTTTGAAGTAACCAAGGAGAAAATGTGTAGGTTTATATCTCATGATGGTCTATCTAAGTAACAGGACCCCAGAAAAAAGTTATGGTACTCCAAAGCACAGTCTAGCAGCTTTTGTGTGATGTAATATTGGGAGTGTTGAGCTTCAAGGTTGCGAGGTTGTTCGGGCCTGAGTTGCGGGTCTAGGCGCAGGATCTGGAATCTAGAACGAAGGCTGAAGTTTGAGGGTGCAGGGCTTGATGTCAGGGTCAGCACCATTCACAAGTCACCACTCTGCTATACGGACCTTAAGAGTTAGCATTGGGTTTTTGGGTACACTGTCATATCGCATATACTACGGAATCACCCCAAACTACGGAATCCTCTGGACTAGTGCATTTATTCAGGCTTCTGAGGTCGTCGCTCACCACTGCCGGCACAAAGCGGATAGGGGACCTGAACTGAAGCCAAAAAACACCCTCATCAAAGGGATCCTATACCCAGAGACTCCAAAACCCCTTAATTAAGGAATATACCTGAAATTATGTTATATTCGGAACCCTAAAATGATTTAAGGTATATTCCTTAGTTAAGGGGTATTGGAGTCTCTAGCTACTGGCATCTGTATTTAGAGACCTGCGCATATTATCATATTATGTGGAGGCGATAAGAACCGAGGTCTGCCATGCAAAAAGGCCTCGGACGGACTGCAACACCGCTCCGATTAATGCAGGAGCCTCTATACTTTCGTCAGAGTAGGGTTTTGGGATGCCCTGGGGCGTATTATGCTATATTCTAGTATACTTACAGGAAAGCACCCTAAGAAACACGACTGGTAACTTAACTAGAGAGCTCGGAAATTCAAAGAAGCTAAAACCTGCGACGAGTGGAAAGACTCAGGCACCTCTCAAATTCAGAAACACTGCTGTAACATGGGTTTAGGGTTTACGACGGTTTAGGGCCCTCTCAGTCTGAGATAACGATCAAGGGATCCCCCGGAGCTTCGGTTTGAGGTATTTTCGTGCAGAGTACCGGGTTTAGGATGTCAAGAATCCGTGCTCCAGGGAGACAAAACCAACTGACACTGTCACGCAAAACGTCTCCATGTCCTTAGCTGCTGAGTTCAGAAGCCCCCCCCAAAAAAAAGTCACACTTTTAGTTTTAAAGTGGTAATATTATCCCAGCAGTTGTAAAGTGTATCCACTCAGCTACTACTACTGTCTGGTTCTTAGTAAGGCAGGGGGGAATGGATCCCTATGATAGTCCAAGGGTCCCTATAGTAGTCCCTATAACCCAATCCCCCATTCCCTACGAAGAACCAGACAGTCTAGGCTGAGCGACCGGCCGGGAAGACACTGTTCCGATTGCCGGCCCTTCGACGTGCACCTTGGCCCAGCGAGGCATATGGGAGTTTCCGAAAGTTAGGGGCACCTTTCAAGGGATCCCTCAAGAGTTCGTTAAAGGCATCTATAAGGGTTCTTTAAAGGGGTATCGGGATTCTCGGATGTCTTCTACTAGACCCAAGAGTAACCTAGGAATAAAAAGGGTGCCCTTTTTGGTTTAAAGGGGGTTATAAGAGACACTAAACCCCAGAAAAAGGGAATAAGGGCCAACTCTGGGTCCTACATTAGTGACTCGAGCAGTGAAGCTTGGGGTTCGGCAGTTCTTTGAGGTTTTGGGCTTTGGGTTTCGGGTTTAGGGTTTAGGAGCTTCTGGTTTAGGAGTCTAGGGTTTAGGGTTTAAGAGTTTAGGGTTTAGGGTTTTCGTTTCAGCGCTTCAGGTTTTATTGCTTACGCCACATCAAAATCATGTCTACAGTGTTCTGGAACCCTAAACCTCCATGGCCCTAAACCCTAGACCCTGGTCCCTAAGAGATTCATCACTGAAAACAACTTTGAGATGGTGGGGCTAGACATGCAAGGTCGTATACTGCAAAACCGCTAGAACTGTGAGAAGGCAGTGGAGCAATGCCCAAGTGGCTGCTGAAACACTGTTGGAAAGTTGCTGTCCAAGATCTTGGAGTTGCTACTGAAGGTGCCGAACCTAAGTCAGTTTAGGCCTAGTGACTCCCTCATTCGGGAAGGTGCAATCCAAACAACGAAATACCTCCCGCGCGTTTCTCCGATCAGCTCCGAAAGGGTTGGAGACCTGCAAGCAACTAAACCCTAAACCCTAAACCTTAGAAGGGGCCACCACCCTGTAATAGTGGTATTATAGGAATATAATTGGGCCCTAATATTATCCTTCTAGTCACTATTACAGGGTGGGGGCAGCTTCTAACCTAAACCCCACAAACCCTTAACCTAGAGTCCAAAGTTGAACTGAGTGCAGAAAGGAATGCCAATGTCTCCCTGGACCTGAACGCAAATCTATGCAGCTACTTGGGGTCGGGGCTTTAGGCTGTCAGGTCTTTGGCCTGAAGTGTTGGAGCTATGGGCGTCATCGAGATATGTGTTTCAAGGCTTCTGGGTTTGTGACAAGGCACTTGAGGCTGTAAGGCATCTTTTCTGAGCACGCAATGCTACCACTCGTGCCCATTTTGTTACAGACAGATACCTTGACATAGACCTCTAGTCAATCTCGTCAGACCTCGTGTCCGAAATAAGGGTTGTGATCGGCGATATCATCTCCGGTCACCAAGATGCCCGTCTCGTTGTAGTAGTGCCACAGCTGACCAAGATGAGCATCAAGGCTGTGATAGTTGTCCGCTGCTGTCTCAAGTCGGAATGTAGTGTTCCCGATATCGAAAATGAGATGGTTCTTCCTGGGATGAACGGTCAGCGTGCTTACTCAGAACACACGAGACAAGACGAGACGAGACAGACAAAATTAGATCAGACCACACCGGAGACCAGCACCATACAATACAAAACACGCATACGTACGTATGCACACGAGTGTTATACAAGCGTTCATCGCCACTAATACACAAGCACACATATATATATATATATATATATATATATATATATATATATATTCAAAGTAAATATGTATATATATATATATATATGTATACAGATGAGGCTGGGATCACGGACTGTGTATCTATTAGCTGGAATAAGTAGTGTGCAGAACCTGAGGCAGTCAGGCAGCACTGGCATATCAGTTCTCATGCCAGATAAGAAGACTAGAGCTGAAAAGCCCTTGCCAACATGCTGGGTTTGCGCATTTGACTTAGACTCTGACGTCAGAAATTTTATGGGGAGTGAGAATGCTGTACATGGTTAGCGTGGTAGTAGAGCACGAAAACCTTCAAACTCAGTGGCACAACCATACAACACTGCATCACATTCCCGCTCCAAACAAACGACTAGTCGGATGTAGTTTCGGCAAACTGATGGCTAGGTTGTGTTGTGACATGCAGACTACCGCGACTTAACCAGTCCAACAAGCTCAGGACGAAGGAGGATTCCCTCCGATCCCGCAAATAGCGTTTATGGCTTAGGGTCCAGAGTTTCGGCTTTAAGGTTTAGGTGTTAGGCTTTCGGATGCAAGTATCATCTTCTTGAATGTCGAGCGAAGCCAAGTGTGCGGAATCGTCCACCCGATTCCATGGACGACACGTGAACTGCGCGACCATTGCACCTAGGCACACCCATACAGATCCACATGAACGTTTGTACATCTGAAACACCGGAAAGAGCACCTAACCTGACAGTTCAAGTCCTACGTAATTACGCGAGGCGCAGTGGCGGGGCTCCCGAAACACCTCATCACTTTAGGGGCACACGCCGCACTGTGGTGTGTGGCAGGGGCATGGTTTCGAGAACACTGGACTGTGACGGCAGACAAACTAGCCCGGGAGAGTGTTGAAAACGCACGGACTGCCGTGGGAGCCGAGCCGCACCCCAGAATGCACGGGGCCCTAGTGGCCCCTTTTGATTGAATCACCCTCTAGACCCAAGAGTAAGCCAGGCATAAAAAGGATGCCCTTTTTGGTTTAAAGGGGCCTTATAAGGGAACCTGAACCCTAAAAAAGGGAATAAGGGCCTACTCTGGGTCCTAGCCCTTTAAGCAATTTGGGGGTTCGGGCGCAGAGCTTTTATTCTCAGGTGGGGGCATTGGGGTTTCCGGTCTCGGGGCTTGGGCTTGATCGAGAGCCCTTCCGCCATTACGACGATCAACAATAAGTTTGAAGGGTTCCTTTAAGGGTTTCTTTATCTGAATCCTTAAAGGGGCCCCTAAAAGAACGGCGCTAGCAAGAAGCTACCACTCGGTCACGGGTAAAAGTACGCGAGTCTTTGGAGTTCAGGGCCATGGCTTGAGGATGCAACGCTTGGTTTGTGCATTCCAGGCGTACTTCATACAGTCGCCGCCCCACCTACAAATCTAAGGGATCTATTCGGATTTACAAGGGTTTACGGCGAAGGGCTTTAGGGCTTAGGGGTTTCGGGCTTTGAGAGTCTAGGGTTTAGGGTCTAGGCCGCAAGCTAACCGTCCCCTCAGTTTATGTCGATAACTCTCAGCACGCATATTTGAGAATCTAAATGCACCAGCGATTTTCGGGGGGTGCTCAGGATTTCACGAATGTACTGTATGGTTTAAGGTTTAAGGCTTTAGGGTTTCATGGTTTCGAGTTTACGATTTAGGGTCTCCAGGGAAAGTTGCAAACCTCACAGACTGATAGAAGAAGGTTTAGGGAATAGTAGGGTCTATTTATGAATGCCCCTACGCGGTCCAACATGTAGCTCCCGGGATTAGAGTTTAGGGTTGATGGTTGTTTTCTGTGGAAGGGGGAGGGCAGATCAACCACGAAGCCAAGGAACATTCCCGTAGCCCAAGAAGGTGACCATGTCTCCTCTGGGTTCTTGTTAAGGGACATCGTTAAAGTTACCAGAATAAGGAAATCCCTATTATTTACTGTAGATCCCTACTATGGTAACTTAAACCCTAAACCCTTAAAGGAGCCCTTATAGATCCCGCGAAGGAACCCTTGTAGAGTCCCAGTATGGTAGAGGAAATGTAAGTTCCTGAATAGGAGTGTAGTCCTTCGTTCTCGATTCGCAAGCCCCCTCTCGGCTTCACGTACTTCTGCATGGCGTCGACAAAGCCTGCCGGGTGCAAGCGGATGAGGGCACAGGCTTCGGGCTTCAGATTTTAAGCTTCAGGGCTGAGGGTTTAGGTTTAGCATTGAGCATTTAGCATTTAGGTTTGGGGTTTAGGGTTTAGGGTTTAGGCTGGTCTGCGCGGCTTCGGGCCGTGATCAAACGTGTAGGGTTCAGGGCTGTAGGCTTCACAGACGGCGCAGCTTTAACTTGGAAAACTCTGAACCCCGAACCGTAGACCTCCAAAGCCTCTGCACTCTACGGTTTAGGGTTTAGGGTTGAGGGTATGAGGATTGAGGGGCTGCAAGGCAAGGCTTTGGAGCCGAGGCGATTCTTGCCGGTCTGTCGCAGCAGCAGCAGCAGTTGTTGCGGTGATACGGTTGATGATAAAAATCCTGCATTACCTTAAGGACCCGAAACTATCAGAATTATGGTATTTTCCTTATAATGGGTCATGCAGGATTTATATCATCAACCGTAGCAGGTTGGTAGCAGGGAGATGAGGAGCAGGACCGCCATCAGTGGTCTTGGCACAGCAACACCAACATACCCATTTCCACCACCGCAGTGGCAGCAATGGCAGCTGCAATAGGGGCATTGCAGGCAGCAGAAGAAAACATGCTTGATCTTATCAAAGGGGAAAAGGAGGGACCCTTAATGGGGACCCCTACCCTATAATGGGCTATATAATGGGTATATAATAGCTATATTAACTAGACCCAAGAGTAACCCAGGCATAAAAAGGATGCCCTTTTTGGTTTAAAGGGGCTTATAAGGGAACCTGAACCCTAAAAAAGGGAATAAGGGCCTGGGTCCTAGTTAAGGGTATATACCTAGGGGTCCTTATTAAGGGTCCCTCCTTTTACCCTTCGATCTTACGAAGCAGGACACTCAAGCGAAACCTGAGTGTAGCAATGGCTACTCCCGTTGCCAGCAGCAAAAAAATCCGTCAGAGTACTGCTCGAATAAACAGTTTAGGGTTTAGGGGTTTAGGGGTTTAGGGTTTAGGGGTTTAGGATTTCGGGTTTAGGGTTTAGGGAATAACCCAAAGACTCCAATGTCCCTCAATTAAGGAATATACCTTAAATTATGGTAGGATCCGTAATATGATTTAAGGAATATTCCTTGATTCACGGGTATTGGAGTCTCTGGGAAACAGTACAAGTAATAACCGCCAAACCTTTGTCAAAAGAAGACGTGATGGCCGGCTCTGTACCAGGGTTGAGGTTCAGCCTAAACTCTACACCCCAAACACCCTAAGCCCAAAGGAAAGGGAGGGTTCCCTAAACCCTACACCCCAAAACCTGAGTCTCCACACCCTAAGCCCAAAGGGTTTCAGCCTAAACTCTACACCCCAAAACACCCTAAGCCCAAAGGAAATGTAGGGTTCCCTAAACTCTACACCCCAAACACCCTAAGCCCAAAGGAAAGGGAGGGTTCCCTAAACTCTCTGAGTGTCCACACCCTAAGCCCTTAGGGTTTAGGGTTTAGGGGATGCTCTCTTTGACAGAGGGCCTTGGTTGCCCGGTATGGCGGAGCCCAGCACAACGGAGTACACCTTCTTCCCCAGACTCAGGAAGCTTCGGCGGGTGTGGGATCTATTTAGACGCTGCCCCCACCCTGTAATATAAGGATTATATTAGAGCCCTATTATATTCCTATTATACCACTATTACAGGGTGGGGGCAGCTTCTAAGGGATCTGTTGTGTGTGGTTTGTGGGGTTTAGGGTTTCGGGTCTAAGGTTTAGGGTTTAGGGTCTAGGGTTGAGGGTTGGTTTGGGGTTTGGGGTTTAGGCCTTGGCTTCCAGGGTTTGCTGTGGCAGCAGTATGTTTCATGTCCTTGAACCAGAGGGGGTCACAGTCTGGGATGCCGCTTTTCGAAAGTCCTGAAAGGTTTTCTGTGTCTTAAGGTCAGATTAGGATAGCCGCAGCAATAGGTGCAGCAGTGGCAGGAGCCGGAGACAGAAATCATCCAAGCCGGTCAACCTAAACTCAAGTCACCGAGCCCGAATCAAAACTTGTCTTAACATAGCAGCACCACACGAAACTCCACTTCCACCGAAACCACAAGACAAACAAAGCAACAAAAACCCTCTGTCCAGATACTACACATTGACATCAGTGCAAACACCACACCGTCTGCCTGTGAACTCCTGCTGTGAACAGCAATGTTCAGAGCAGATATGGCGGACATTGCACCACCCAAGCTATGCCCGATGCTTACGCACCACTTCCACACACCTTGACTGAAAGAAAAGTTCCTCTCTGATCATCAAAGAAACACGCTATACCTTCACATGCTTACAACACGAACTTGGCAACTCGTTTACAATTAAAAGCCAAAGCACCAGAGTAAAGGAACATAGCGAAGGGCTGGTGGAATGAAACTCCTGGGACGCCCCAGGAGGTCAATATCTTCTCCACAGCCTCCATGCTGAACATGTTCATACGCAGGTCCACGGAGCGTTTATGCCGCATGAAGCCACGATGAACTTCCACGCCCTTCAAGAGATCGGAAAGCAAACGAGTGTCGCGGAACAAGGCTTCAGGCTCACTCTTGAGGTTTGCCTGCCAGTCTTTTTTGTTCGTGGATCCTTTGTAGCAGAGAACTACACCCACCCCTCCTTCAACTTTGACCAGGTATGCCACCAGATGTGCGGCATCATCAACCCTGGCGCTGGCATGAAACCAGCTTTTGAACTGGAACTCGAGCATTGAAATTTCGGTATCGTTCCCGAAAGTGTAAGCCCGCACAGAATAGCCTTAGTTGCCAAGGTTGCAAAACTTCACTTGCTAGAATTCCATTAGTCCGAACGATTAAAGCCTGAGCCTGGAAATCGATTACAAGGAACCGTGGGCATCATTGCGACCATACGCCAGCATAGCGAAGCGAATTGCAAGAGATGCAATGGGCCTTAGTTGCTGAGTTCATAAGCTGCCAAAGTGTGCATTTTTAGTTTTATAGTGGGTAATATTATCAAAAAAGAATGTAAAGTGTATCCAACCCTAAACCCTAAACCGTACTCAGGGGCTCTTCTGCCGGACCGATACCATAGAGGTCGCCGGCAGATGACTGGTGGAGTTCGGCGAGAGCCTTTCCAGGGTTCCTCTAAAGGGTTCAATTTAGGGTTTAGGGTCTAGTGGGTTCCTTTGAAGGGTTCCCTTATAGGGTTTAGGGTTTGCTTTTAAAGTTGGGTTGGTTCACTCTTTGCATGTCGGCAGGGTTTGGGGTTTGAGTTTAAGGGTTTAGGGTTTAACCCGGACCGGAAACACAAGCACGACACCCTCAAAATCCCAAACCTGAACACGAAACCCTCAACCCCACAACCCAAGATGAGGCTCAAGCAAGGTGTGAGTGTACGACCTTCGGGAGGATGCTGGAACCTTTGGGAAAACCCTACACACTAGGCATCCCGAAACCCTGAAACCTTCATGCTTTCTGTAACCCCCTTGGGCCCACAAACAAATTATGTAACAACTTCTTGAGTTCATATCCCTAAACCCTAAACCCGAAGCCCTAACCCTAAATCTTCCACCCTGAGCCGTAAATCTAAAGCCGTAAACACTGATCACTAAACCCTAAACCCTACACCCAAAGCAGATCCGAGCTTTAGTCAGCCCAGGAGCATCCCTCAGAGATTCGGCCTCGCGAACAGTTGGTATCGTGACCTTCTGGGTTGCAGTTTTCGGGCTCTGAAAAGTATTTATGAATAAGAACCTCTGTAGGAACCATAATGGAAATTAAAAAAGTTTCCCAAATTGCCACCTAGCCTTGCTTCTTTCAAAGGAGCGTGGTTCAAGTTTCCATCACCAGAATCATAGTGGCTACTATCTGTACCCGTGCACCCTAAACGCCAGTTCAAAACCAGAGTATCTACGATCTTACCTTAAGTATGGTAAACTTAAACTAGGGTCCTGAACAAGAACTCAGGAGCATTGTCGGTCGTGATGCAATCAGGGTCTGATGAAGATGTAACCAAGGAGTTCGCAGACGGATCGTCCTCCGCGATTTGGTTTCAGAATTTCTTGATCGTTTCGGATTTGCTCGGAGCGTTTAGAGGGTTGAAGCTTTCAGGCGTGTAAGGTTTGGAAGGTTTTGGGTTCGGGGTGTAGGGGGCTCTTGCGTTCAGGCTTTCTGGTTTGTGGCTTTTAGGGCAGAGAGTTAGGGTTTAGGGTTTAGGGGTTTTAGTGCTTAGGTTCACTGTTTAGGGTTTAGGGTTTTGGGTGTAGGGAGCTTTCAGCGGCCGTAGAAGGAGTTTGAGTTCGCATCTTCAACCAAACTTTTCCCCAAGATGGTAACCCTCTGAACACTAGAGATAGCCCCCTCCCATGAACCTGCAATCATGAGGTTGCTGATCCATGTCTATACTGAACTTAGAACCCTAGCAACAATTGTAATTTTAGCTGTTTCTTAGGAATTATGATAACCACAAATTAGCAATTAATTCTAAGTACCCCTAAGTTTCATACAACAGATGCAGTTTTGACCGGGACAGCCTCACAAAAAAATGCTTACTTCGATCACCAACAGCACAGAGACCCTTCAGTATGCTTTTTCCAAACTCCAACCTCCTTCGTTGCCACCGGCTTACGGCCCGATTACTACCCACTCCGGAAGGTTTAGGATTTAGGGTTTAGGGTTTAGGGTTTAGGGTAGTAATCAAGTTGGACGGTCCTGTTGAACGCGCTTGCCCGCAGCCCAGCCCAGCAGAAACAAAGACAAACTACGACGCAGCATGTCGCCAAAGCTACATGGGAGTTTCCGAAAATGGGGGACCCCAATATAGCACCCTAAATAGTAGGATCCCTTGTATAAGGACCCCAAAGTCAGGTACCCCTAATTTTAGGAAGCCCTAAACTCTAAACCCTTTATAGAACCCTTGTAGATCTCTTTGAGGAACCCTAGAGGTACCCCTAATTTTCGGAAACCTCTATTCGAGCAAGGTGGCTGCGGAAGTGTGAGCTTGCTCGGGCTTTTGGGTTACGTTCGAGGATTTGGGGTATAGGGTGTAGGCAGGGTTTAGGGTTTAGGGTTTATGGTTTAGGGTTTAGGTTTATGGTTTAGGGTTTATGTTGAAATGCTTCTCACTGCATGCCCAGGTATCAGGTTAGACAGGTGTGTAGTCTGCTTGAAGGGATTGCCGGCACTTGTATAGTTTCCTTCAGGTAGGCTTGTACATGTGTGTTTCCTGTATCCTTTGGCTTAGGGGAAGGCTGCGTAGGAAAGCCTCTTGAGCCATGTGTACTGTAACCAACAACTTGTAAAGCTGTACAGGTCGTTTGTTGGTTTGTCGGTTCTCTTGTTGCTTCGTTGAGATCGTGAGTCGCCTCTGCGCCCAGCCATAGAAAACATTCTGCGTGAGCTTCGCTGCAGGGTATGGCCACCCAGGGTGAACACCTTCAACAGGTGATGAGCCCAACGCCTGGGCCAGAAGCAACCGGAGCGGTGGCTTCTCCGGCCTCTCTGCCTGGAGTGCGGGGAGGCGGGGATGCACCGCAGACTACAGTGAACGGAGTTGGAGTGCCATCGCCCTCTGGGCTTGCGCAGCCTATTGGGGATGGAATCCAGCAAACTATGATGGATGCGTCGTCGGGGCCATCGACTTCCACAGCTGGTCCAGTGCTATCCCCTCAGCTGCCACAAGAAACTGTTGGAACAGCCGGTCAACCGAGAGTTTCAGCAGTCGGTAGGACAGGAGGCGATGGAACACTAGGCCAGGTTGGAGGCTTGGGCACAGCTGGCGTTACGTATGAAGCAGTATCTACCACGGAGGTCGCCGATGCGAGTGGGGTGCATGGAGATGCAACTGCAGTGACTCAGGGTTTCAGTGTGGCCACCGAAAGTGGAATGGCTAGCGCTCAGATCAATGTTGCCGCAGGCGTCTCAGGGTACAACCCATCTGCAGCGAATCCTGGAAGTAGTGCTGAGGGCTTTGAAACGCCCAGATCAACGGCGTACGGGGCGTCAGCGGTCATGCAGACTGGGGCTCAGGCTTTTGCTAGTCAGTTGCTAGGAAGAGTGCAGTCTCTGTTTGGTGGCGCGGCGAACGTACAGCCACTGCCGCAAGGGTGGGCTCCCAGTCCACTGACTTCTCCTCCAAGGCCGTCGCGACCACTACAGCCCCTCGAGAGAGGAGGCCGCGTCCTGCAAGATGAGTGTCAAGTGCCGATGCCGTTGTTCACTGGTGCCAACGCGCAGCAGCTTGCTGCCATGGAGCAAAGAGCTCCCTTGCTCTACGGGTCCGGGTCTCCGGACAGGCCTCCGCACACCGAGTCCTCATCTATTCCGCATGATGCGATTCAGGCAGAAGTCGCGCGACAGCTTGATGGGTTGAAGCAGCAACTGCGAGCTGAGCAAGAGAGAGCTGGTCGTGCTGAGGCCGAACTCTCGAGGATTCGGTCTCAGCAGGCTGGTGAAGTTGAGGCTACGGCGTTGCAGCAGGTGGGTACTAGGGAGGTTGGCTTTAGTGGGTTTGGTGATAGTGGGTTCGGTTCGCATCCTGTCGCCAACACTGGGGTTGGATTTGCCCCTTCTTCATCCTCACCGCCTCCTCCTCCGCCTCCTTCCGCTCCCGAGCCTCAGGGCTTCGCTGGTTTGTTCTCAGGGCTCCTTGGTTCCGGTGCGCGGTCTTCCAGCCCTGCACCGCAGAGGCCACAAGCAGAACCCAGAGGCACACTGCCAGCAGGAGCCGCGAGTGCATCAGGACCCACAGATCGTGAGATACTGATTGCTGGGATGCATCAACTTCAAGATGCCATGTCAGAGATGCTCAAGGGATCTCGTGCCGAACGCGATGGCGGCAATTCTCCCACCAACCCTGAAGCTGTTAAGCCAGGCATCTCGAGTTTCCCAGCTTTGGCAGAGCTCACTTCGGATGAAGGGTCTCTTCTGTACCAAGATTGGTTAGTTGTGATTGGGGGTTTGGTCGGTGATGTTTCGGACACAGCAGCAGAGTGGTGGCGTCAGGTTTTGGGTGTGGTTGATACGGCCTATGGGGTTTGGATTTCGTCATCACCCTTGGATAGGCTAAAGGTTGAGCCCGTTGTACCGGCTGAGTTGCTTCAAGGGCGATGGGCGCGTGTCAACTTTAGGATCTGTAGTATGCTTATGGCGGCAGTCCCCGAGTCTATCAAAGCAGACATTGTGGCCCGCAAATGCAATCAATCAGCTCCTTCCATCCTTTTCCGTTTGCACACCACGTACCAACCAGGTGGAGGTTCAGAAAAGGAGGTTATTCAGAAGAATCTCATGCAGCCTACTCCAGCATCTGATCCCTCCTCAGCCGTGAAGTCTTTGCGTGAGTGGATTCGTTGGTACAATCGCTGTGAAAGTTGCAACATGTCACCTCCGGACTCGACCATTTTGTCCAAGAGCCTCACTACCATCACTAGCCAAGTTTTGGCGCAGCATGAAGAAGCGAAGTTTCGAACGTTTATGCTTCGTTCCATGTTAAAAATGGATGCTCAACCAACTTCGTCTGCAGTCCTGGAGTACCACAAGCACTTGCTTGCAGAGATGGAAGCCCTTGCAGTCTCTAAGGCCACAGGTGTGAGTGCCCCTAAGGTTCGAGCTGTAGGCACGCCCAGTCCGGGAACATCTCCAAAGGCCAGTGGGCAGCCGCAGGCTTCAAAGCCCTGCAAGTTTTTCATGGGTACTTCGGGGTGTAGGCGGGGTCCTAAGTGCACGTTTAGCCACGACATGTCAGGACTTTCTCGTCAGGAGCGCAGCAAAAAGTGCTTAGCATGTGGCTCTGAGGCACACCGCCAAAAGGACTGCCCGGTAGCTGGAGGAAGCCCAAAGGGGAAAGGACAGCCAGGTGGAGGAGACACCAACAATGCTGCAGGCCACAGGCCTACAACGGCTGATCAGGCGTCTACTGCAATCCAGCCGGGCGCGAGCCCAGGCCGAGCGGAGGACTTCACAGCGTTTATGCGCATGATGTTTGCAGCTGCCAGTTCTTCCGAAGCCTTTCCTCCTGCATCCACCCCAGCCGCTCCCGCGCAGCCTCCGGCGATTGAAGACAAACCTGCAGCACAGGAGGAGCCTAAAGCGAGCATTAAGACCATCCATCTCACAGCCATTGAGCCTGGGCAGGTTTTGGAAGTAGATGGTAGTCCTAGTTTTTTGGCTTTGGTAGACAGTGGGGCCACTCATGCCCTTCGCGCTGCAAGTTCCGAAGCTGAATGGGCTAGTGCGCAACCCGTTGTCGTGTCACTGGCTGGAAAGGAGACTTCGGCTATGCGTTTGTCTGCTGCTGGTACTCTTCTGTTGCCTCCCACATCTAGTGCCCAAACCATCGTGCCGCTGGGTTCTGTCATCCAGCAGCTGGGGTATCGTTTGGATTGGACTGCCTCGCGATGCCGTTTGATTGCTCCTTCGGGTCGTGCCTTTCGCTTGAGGGTTAAAGGTGGGTGTCCAGAGATCATGGAATCAGAAGCCTTGGTGCTAATCAGCAAGCTAGAAGAAAAGCGGCTAGAGGACTTGAAGTCTCTGGAGGCGAATGTGGCCGAAGGTACCTCTCGCATCCGAGCTGTCAAAGCCTTGATGTCAAAGAGCTGGTGGGATCACATGCAGGACTATGTGAGCCTTGGATCTACCAATTCAGCCCAACTAGCGTTGCAGGCCGCGCCTTTCTTGGCAGATGTTCCCCAAGCAGCTTTGCAGGGACTTGTTGAGGATGTTGCTCAGGTTTCAGGATGGGAGCTCCTAAAGGGTTTGACGCATCTCAATCGGCGTCGCCGTCGTGCATTGCTCAATGCCCCAGAGTGGATTGTTCATCTGTACGCTGGAGCCCCAGGCCCTAAACCCTTTTCGCACCTTGAGTCCAAGAATGTGGCTGTTCTGGAATTGGACATTACCAGAGGCTCAGACCAAGATGTGCTACGCACTCCTGCTTGGCGCGCTCTAGTTTGGGGTGCCGTCCACGGCAAAGTGTCGCATCTTCTTGGTGCTCCACCGCGTGGTACGTTTGACACACATGCTCATGGGAGTAGCGTTGTCCCACCTGTGCGCGGGCCATTGGACTTATATGGCCTTCCAGATTTGTCAGCAGCACAACGGTCGAAGGTTGATCGTGAAACGGCTTTGCTTTGCCGACAGATTTGGTTGCATGCTGTGGCGACTGCAGGTCGCAAGGTTAGGCCGCCAGCTGGAGTTACTAGGCTTGAGGTTGGCTTTCTGCTTGAGCACCCGATGCTTATTGATCGCTATGTGCCTCCTTCGCATGCCTTGTTTGGTCAGGTCCCTAGTTTTTGGAATACTGGACTTTGGAATTCCTATGCCGATGAAGCAGGGTTGTTTGAAGTTCATGTCTACAAGGGGGATTTAGAGCATGTGATAAGTAGGCCTACGACCTTAGGCACGAACTATGGTGATTTGCAGTACCTAGAGACCCTAAGCCTTGACAAGGGTTTGCGTGGTGTCACTGTGCAGGCAGCCGCTGCAGAGCCTGAGAGTGAGAGCAGTGGCATGCCTCATCTGCATCGCAAGTCCCATGATTCAGCTCGATGGGCCCCTGGTTTTGCCCAAGCCGTGAGCATGAGCATCCAAAACTGGTCTAGGTGGTTCCGCATTGCCAAAACAAAGGCAGACGAACAGGCTTGGAGGGATCATGTGAAGAATAATCACCAACCGTTTCGGAAAGACTGTAGTGTGTGCATCAGAACTGCCGCCTCAGGACGCCGCCACGTTGGTGTGACTCACCCCTCACAGTTTACTCTGTCTGCGGATGTCTGTGG